GCGAAACATTCAAACAGCCAATTTTCAGTTGTCCCTCGCTTCAACCTTTTAAAAACATATTACAGACTGACAATTGGCGTGTTAATTTTTTATCAACAAACATTGTAAGGCTTAAGTATGTTGTTGCAGTTATTCGTCGCGCGTACGCAAAATCATCGACGTCATGGAAAATTCATTTGCAAACTTTTGTGTCATGGTGAGAATGGAAGAAACTAAATACAAATCGCTCCTTATGATACAAACTACCCCGGCTATGTTGAACTTCAGCAAGAAAACAGGATACTAAGTATCTGGTAAAAGCAGAGTTTTTGAACTAAAACTGCTAAGAAGTACAAAATATTTTTTTCTTGTGTACCAGTATACTCTGTAACTGGTACTAAAAATATTTTTAGAGCACAAGTCAAAAAGCGAACAAAAAACAGTTTTTCGACCAGGATACTCAGTATCCGGTCGAATGAAAAACTAACAGGAACAGTTCAGAAATTATCTAGACGAGATCTCAGTACTTTACAACCAGTTTCTTGTTTCAACATTTAGGATACTAACTCGATGAGAATAAAGTTGAAAAAGCTATTACTTCAGAACGGTTGGCTAACCGAGGTTCATGTGCAGTAAAAGTAGACTTTTCTAAACCATTTGACAGAGTTGACACATCAAGTTTCCTCAAAATTCTGAATGGTTTAAGTCTGGTTGAGTTTTCCGTTAGAGCTATTGAATTTTTGTACTTAGACTCAAAAGCACTAAATGAGATAAAGTTTTTATCAGCCAGCTTCAAATTCCTTGCGGTAAAAGACAAGGTTGCCCTCCTTCCACATTTTTTGTTTATATTTTTTATCTAACCCCCTCTTCAAGCAATTGAATTTACAAAAACAATTGAAGTTTTTGGGCTATTCTTTCTTACACTAGTTTCATATGCGGACGACATTACCTGCCTAATCAAAATCCGATGTGTTGAAAACTTTTGCAAATTAGTGCACTTAATCGAAAACTTTTGCAAACAATCTCGAATGATTTTTAACATAAGTAAAAGTGAACTGCTTTCTAAACCTGATTTATCACCCTATAAATTAGTCAAGGAAACAAAAATACTTGGTGTCTTGTTTTAAACTTCCTACAAAATCAAAAATATTGAAATAACATTAAGTTCTCGAATTTAAAAACATAGAAGTTTAATTTAATTTGGTAAATTTTTGAGAACCAAGTGGTTAACAATGTCAGTCTTTGTTCTCCCTGAATTTTTTCATATGGCTTGTCATACTATAATTTAATTTGGAAACTGTTAGTAACTGGGAAGATTTATTAAATGCAAAATTGAAAAAATCAAGTAGACTCGATAAAAGGAAAAAAAGTATCATACCACCCTAATTTAGATGGTGCTGTAGGCTTATCACGCCTACAACTCAAATTTTACATTCCTGAATTTGTCTGTTTTATTGCTTCCGATATGTCAAATCGAAATAATTTGTTACCAACAGACTTAAAATTCCCAAAAGAGGTCAAAAACGTGTTGAGAAAAACGGACATCTCAATTGAAAACATTTCTATTGATATTGCATTTTTTTCAAATCTTACAAACAGCTGTTCAATTCTAACACAGCAGACAAAATTGCGCGATGCTTATTGTTTCTGCTTACAAAAACGTAGTTTTTATCAAACTCCAATTTTCCGCTTGCTTTTTGCTATAAGCGGTTATCGGTGTTCGAAAGAACTAACTAATTTAACAGACGAAGTGTGGAAAAATTCAATGCTTGATGTGTGGGAAAAATTTTCTTTATAATTTTGCGTACGCTGTTTTTAAAGATCGCGAAAAGCGGTGGTTTTTTTCGTGAGAATGCGCCCGCTTGTTTTTGTATTTTAGAATGCGACACACCCAAACAGCCAATTTTTAGTTGTCCCTCGCTTCAACCTTTAAAAAACATTTTACAGACTGACAATTGGCGTGTACATTTTTTATCAACAAGCATTGTAAAGCTTAAATATGTTGTTGCGGTTATTCGTCGCGCATACGCAAAATCATCGATGTCATGGAAAATCCATTTTCAAACTTTTTTGTGTGTCATAAGAAGAATGGAAGATACGAAATACAAATTTCTCCTTCTGATACAAACTAATCCGGGTATGTTAATTTTCAGCAAGAAACCAGGATACCAAGTATCCGGTAGAAGTAATGTTTACTGAACAAAAACTGCGAGGAAGTACAAAGTATCCGGTACTAAAAAACTTATTTAAAGCCTAAAACTTATTTAAAAACTTAGTCAAAGACAGAACATAAAACAGTTTTTCGAAGAGGATACTCAGTAATCGGTCGAACAAAAAACTAACAGGAACAGTTCAGAATTTATCTAGACGAGATCTCAACAGTTTACAACCAGTTTCTTGTTTCAACCTTTAAGATACTAACTCGATGAGTTGTTTTCGATAAATAAGATGTGTTTCATATACATGTTGATTATGATATTCTAAGCTAAGTTATCATAATTTAAAATTCAGAGAAAACTATTGTGAAAAAAATAAGTTACTGCTGTTTGACTTTTGACGGGAAAAAATTGTACAAAATTCAAGATATCAATTTGAAACGGAAAAATCAAACACGAACAAAGCGATATTTAACTGACGTAATAATGAAAATGATGAAGCTTAACGAATTGGGCTTAGTGCATTCAAATTATTGAGTGTCAGATGAACAGTTTCGAGACTCACACATCCCAATACAACACAGAGCTCTGATTAACTAAAATCCAGAAGCTAACCAAATATAAGATTTCAAATCAGCTCTGATGGGCAATCTGTCACAAATAGAGGAAGTTAGGAAAATCCAGGTAATTAAACTAGTACATCCATCCACAAAAGAAGATTTGGGTACTTAGTGAGCAATTGCAAAAACCTACAGAAATTGCGTTTCTGAAATATTACAACTTCCACTTAATTTGAGAGTAAAAATCACCTTTTCCAAAACATCTACAACCCCTCAATATGCATGTCGAACAAACTTCCTTGCAGTTCATGAAGATATTCAACAACCCAGATTTGATTCAAATCAACATAACGACACGGTTGAGACATATTTTGCGGAAATACCAAATCTAATATCAATAACTAGTAACAATAAGGCTCTTCCGCAGTTTGATTTTAAAAAAAATAAGTCGGTTTTGCCCCATGGTTGGTTTGAATATCTACGGAGCCAAAAGAAAGTTTGGCCTTGGAAACAGCATAAAACAAGACAAAGGATATCAAGTGGATTGCTTTTCTTGGAAACACAAAATCTTGTCCAGCGTTCAGTTTGATTTTGTAGGTGATTCAATAAAACACAAACCCCTCAATATGCATGTCGAACAAACTTTCTTGCAGTTCATGAAGATATTCAACAACCCAGATTTGATTCAAATCAACATAACGACACGGTTGAGACATATTTTGCGGAAAAACTAAATCTAATATCAATAACTAGTAACAAAAAGGATCTTCCGCAGTTTGACGCGGTGGTTTTGAAGAAAAAATAAGTCGGTATTGCCCCCATGGTTGAATTGAATATCTATGGAACCAAAAAAAAGTTTGGCCTTGGAAACACCATAAAACGATCTCAGCAATTATATTTCCAGCCCAGTCCGCATCAGAATAGCTAACAAGACTCAACGCGTTTTCGTTTCTATCTACTCAAGGTAAACTTGTTGTTCCTAGCAGATATTTCAGACATTTTTTCTCGGCTTTCCAATGCTTTTCAACTGAGTTTTCCCACAAATGAACTTAAAAGTTTGCTGCACAAAAAATCTTGGGTCTACTTGATAAAGCTAAGTAATTAAGACAACCAAAAAGTTCTGGTTAGTCACATTTTGTGATATTATTTCTTGTTCTTGTTCTGAAGTACCTTTTTTGTCAATTTTTCTTGTTTGCCAAGAGGGATTGTTATCGGTTTTTCTTCGGTCATCTTAAAACTTGATAACTACTTTTAAAGAAATCTCTTCTGATTTATCCTAATTGGGTTTTCTGTGTAATCATTTTGCATTCCTTAAAACTAATTAGGATCACTTATCTGCTTATAATATTTTTTTCAGAGATATTTTTTTCAAACCAGCTACAGAAATTTTTGTCCGCTCAACAAACCACTATATCATTGCCCCATAAGCAAATTAAACCTTCGTTCTCTCTCCCTCCATCCTCCTAACAAACAAGCTCTCATCAAAAACTGATTTTTAAAGCCTAACCCCTCAAGATATCCTTTTAGAGTTTCAGGTTGCTTCATAAAAACATCTTCATCTAGTTTGGCTTTCAAGTCTGAAGTGTCAATGTCTAACTGTCTCAACTCACACATATTTTGAACAACTAAGCTTAGAATTTTTCTTATGGTCCACATCTTAGTTCCAGGCGAAACCGTTTCGTGAAAATCCTTTCCCTCATTTTTGCTCAAGCCTTTAGCAACAAATTTTGTGTTAATTGCAAAATCAGCATTTTTACCATATAATGAAACTTAATAAAAAACAATCATGCAATTATTAAGCAGATAAGTTCGTGATTTTTTTTGCCAAACTTTCATTGTATCGGAAAAAAGCTTATTTTGCTAATAACACACAGCCTTGTTTTTCTACAAAACTGTTTAAAATTGTTTGATAAACGTTTTTTCATGGAATGAAAACGTATGGCAAGCAATTCTTCTCAGCTCGGTAACACTTCAAAAATTTCCACATTTCCTAGAAACAATGCGAACGAACGGGCGAGTAATTGACTTAACGTATCTTTGTTTCGTCTCTCTTTGGTATCTTAAAGGCACAGTTATAATATCTGTTACTCATGTTGAATTTTACAATTATTATCCTTGTTTCATTGATTTGTCGCTCCAGCAACCAACAGTTTCTTTGTTAATTGCTCATAATTGCAACAATTCAACCATTTTGAACCTTGAACGCTACAGATTCTGTTGCCTGTTTGGAAAACAAGGGGGTGGGCGAATCGAGCCCGAATTTACTGCAATATTCTTAAATCTGAATAAATCAAGTTGTTGAATGTCAAGCAGCCAAATTGGCTTTTACTGGGCTGACACTGCTCTTCTTGTGGGCGTGGCTGTTCTTTCTGCCTGCCAGTCTGGCAATCTCTTCCAGAGACGGCAACTTCAGCTTCTCCTGTGCATAAACTTCCGGCTGGTAGATGTCGTCCAGTTCACACATCACTGGACCCTAATAGTTGGAAAAGATGATTTAAAAAATCCACAAAACCTGGGTTGACAAAAATGCTTATCATACAATTTTCAAATATGGAAAAAATGCTTATCATACAATTTTGTACAATTCCATAGATACAGAAAATGTTGAGAAAACTCTAAGGTAAGCATTTTTTCATACATGAAAATTGTAGGAGAAGCATTTTTTCATTAACCAGAAAGTTTTTTTTTTTTTTTTTTATTTCTCAAAATTTTTGGGATGTGTTCGTGCCCTAACACAAGTGACTAAAACCATGGTTTACTCAAAGCTAGAGTCACCAAAAGGTTAATCGTCTGGCATTTACAATGCATTGGGAGCGACCTCAATTGTGTAAGAGTTATTTTCACAAATGATATACTGAAAGCATTAAACTTTTAAATTTTCAAAGATGATTATTGTTAAAATTAGAGTTTTCAAATTATCAGACATTGATTAAGGCATATATAATCATGCCATATAAACAAATGGGAGTTTTTAGCCTGTTTGAAAAAAGTTATCCAGAGAAACTGAAAAAAAAATCCAATTCTTGTGTATCCAGGACTACGTTATGCAGACAAAAAATTAAGATTTGCATGCAAATAGTTTTTTGAAAATGTTTGTTTGTTTAGAAAGTTTGGGGTTGAAAAAAAACTTTTTGGAGTCATTTCAAAATTGTTTTTTGTTGCCAAAAAAGTTTTTCTTGTCGCCATCAAAAAGTGCTAGTCATACAATTTTCATTTTAAGAAAATGTTCTTTATTTGAAATTGTATGACTAGCATTTTTCCATACATTTGATGTATGGAAGTGTATGTTAAGCATTTTCGGTGCACGGAATTGTAAGATAAGCATTTTTGGTTAAGATAATAACCAAACTTCTATCTAATAACCAATCTGTTAACAGTCAAAGTATCAAATATAACAAAGAATAAACAGTCTAAAAATAAAACTTTTCGCTCAGAGTACGCCGGATGCAAAATTGATTAATTCAAGTTAATCTTTATGACTCCACAGACAAATTCTTTAAACATGTTAAAATTTTGTCGGAACGATCACAAGAAATGGAAGAACAAAGTAAGAAAAAAGAGAGCGTCCTTGTTGCGGAATCCGTCTACAATTCATAAAATACACAGTTTGGCCTCGTAATGTTCAAATGCAGATGCAGGCAAGTGGGTGACAAAAATGATAAATATCCCAACTTTCATCAGTGCACGAAAAACTTAAATGTTTTTAAGCAAGCTAATCAAGCTAATAAAGTTTGAACTCTTTCAAGTTATTTCGTAGACCGAAACGGCTTGCAAAAAAATTTAAGTTTGTCCAAGTAAAGCTTAAAGCTATGAAACATTGGATTATTTCAAGATATTTCATAGTTTGAATCAGTTCGCGAAAAGCTTCAGATTTTTCGAAGACAGCAATTTAAGCTATGAAACTTTGAAATTGTTCAAGTTATTTCAGAAACCGAATCAATTCGCCAACTTTTTTTTCGAATTAAGCTATTCAAGCTATGAAAACTTTGGAATATTGCAACTTATTTCGTGGACTAACTCGGTTTGCAAAAAGCTTTAGGTTTTCAAACAAGCTTTCAAAGCTATGAAAATTTGAACTTTTACAAGTTATTTCATTGATTGAATCGGTTCGCGATAAATTTAAAATTTTCCCAGCAAGCTTTTCAAGCTACGAATTTGCAATTATTTCATAAATCGAATCGGTTCGCAAACAATTTAAAACTTTCTAAGCAAGGTTTAATCGATGAAACTTTGAAATTTTTCAAGATATTTCCTAGATTGAATCAGCTTGCGAAACATTTTTTTAAGCAAGCTTCTAGGGGAAGAACTTTCGAATGATTTCAAGTTATTTCATAAACTGAATCAGTTTGTGTAAAATTTGAAGTTTTCTAAGCAAGCTGTTCAAGCTATGACACTTAGTAAATTTTTTCAAATTTTTTTGAAGAACGAATCGGTTTGCAAAAACTTTTTTTAAGCATGGAGGTTGCTGTTTTCAAGAGATTCGTTCAAGAGTGAATTATTGACAGTTCAAGTTCCTGACAGAAATGAAAAGAAATTTTAGACAAATATTAGGCAGGTATTGTATAGCTTTGAAGTTGGATCGAGTTCATCTTCCTCTAATGGTTGCTCTGATTGCTTCTTAAACGTTACGCTCGATAGCCTTTTAAACATTGTCTTCTAATAATTCTCAAGCATTATGTTCAGTTAAACCTTGTGTCCATAGCGCATTCCGACTTTCTTTTATTATGAAAATTTTAAGGTTATTTTGTTGACCGAATCGGTTTGCGAAAATTGGCAGTTTTTCTGAGCACGCTTTTAAGCTATGAAACTTTGCATTATTTCAATTTAATTTACAGATTGAATCGGTTCACGAAAATTTTAAGTTTCCCCACCAAGTTTTTCAAGCTACGAAACGTTTAAACATTTGCAATTATTTCATAGACAGAATTGGTTGGCAAACAGATTTAAAACTTTCTAGCTACGAAAACAATTCAAAATGTTTCCTAGATTGAATCAGTTTGCGAAACATTGAATCAGTTCGCGAAACATTAAGGTTTTTTGAGCAAGCTTCTACAGCTAGAAAGTTTGAAGTATTTCGAGTTATATCATGAACAGGAACAGTTTGTGTGAAACTTAAAGTATTCTAAGCAAGCTGTTCAAGCAATGAAGCTTTGTGAACTTTTTAACATTCTTTCGTAGACCGAATTGATTCGCGAAAAAATCATTTTCCAAGCAACTTTTAAAGCTACAAAAAATGAATTTTTTCAAGTTATTTCATAGACCGAATCAATTCGCGAAAAGTTTAAGTTTTTCTAAGCAAGCTTTTAAAGCTATGAACTTTTTATTTATTACAAGCTATTTCATAGACTGAAGCGGTTCGCCAAAGTCTTAAAATTTTGGAATAAGCTAATCAAGCTATGAAACTTTGGAAGTTTTCAAATTATTTCTTGGACCGAATTGGTTCGCAAAATGTTTCAGGTTTCCCAAGCAAATTTTTAAAGCTATGAAACTTTGAATTATTTCAAGATCTTTTATAGACTGAATTGTTTCGCGAAAATATTTTTTAAGCAAGCTTTTCCAGCTACGAAACGTTGGAACATTTGCAATTATTTCATAGACCGAATTGATTGGCAAACAGTTTAAAAAGTTTTAGGCAAGGTATAAAGCTATGAAACAATGTAAAATTCCAAGATATTTCCTAGATTGAATCATTTCTCGAAACATTGAAGTTTTTTTAAGCAAGCTTCTAAAGCTAGAAATTTGAATTATTTCAAGTTATTTCATAATTTTGATCAATTTATGTGAAACTTAAAATTTTTTAAGCAAGCTGTTCAAGTTATGAAACATTTTGAACTTTTTCAAATTCCTTTGTAGACTGAAGCGGTTCGCCAAAGTCTTTAAAGGTTTGAAATAAGCTAATCAAGCTTTGAAACTTTGGAAGATTTCAAATTATTGCTTGGGCCGAATTGGTTCGCAAAATGTTTTAGTTTTCCCAAGCAAATTTTTAAAGCTATGAAACTTTGAATTATTTCAAGATGTTTCATAGACTGAATTGATTCGCGAAAATATTTTTTAAAGCAAGCTTTTCAAGCTACGAAACGTTGGAACGTTTGCAATTATTTCATAGACCGAATCGATTGGTAAACAGTTTAAAAAGATTTAGGCAAGTCATAAAGCTATGAAACAATGTAATATTCCAAGATATTTCCTAGATTGAATCATTCCTCGAAACATTGAAGTTTTTTTAAGCAAGCTTCTAAAGCTAGAAATTTTGAAATATTTCGAGTTATTTCATAATTTTGATCAATTTATGTGAAACTTAAAACTGTTTAAGCAAGCTGTTCAAGTTATGAAACTTTTTGAATTTTTTCAAATTCCTTTGTAGACCGAAGCGGTTCGCGAAAAGTTCGTTTTTCGAGGCAAATTTTTAGAGCGATAAAACTTTGAAAAATTACAAGTTTTTTTTAGACTGACTTAGTTCGAGAAAAGTTTAAATTTTCCTAAGCAAGTTTTTAAAGCTATGAAACTTTGATTTATATCAAGTTATTTTTTAGACCGATTTGGTTCGCAAAAATTTCGCAGTTTTTCTAAGCACGCTTTTAAAGCTATGAAACTTTGAAATAATTCATGTTTTTTTTACTGAATTGGCTCGCGAAAAGTTTTTCTAGCAAGCTTTTGAAGCTATGAACTTTTGATTTATTACAAGTTATTTCATAGACTGAAGCGGTTCGCCAAAGAATTTAACTTTTTTAAGTAAGCTAATCAAGCTATGAAACATTGGAAGTTTTCAAATTTTTTCTTGCACCAAATCGGTTTGCGAGAAATTTAATTTTTTCTTAGCAAGTTTTAAATCTATGAAACTTCGAATATTTCAAGTTGTTTCATAGACTGAATCGGTTAGCAAAATTTTTTTTTTAGCATGGAGGTTGCTGTATTCAAGTGATTCGTTCTAGACTGAATTACTGACAGTCCCGGTTCCAGACAGAAATGAAATGAAATGAAATGAAATGAAATTTTGGACAAAAACGAGGCACGTACTGTAGTATAGCCTTGAAGTTGGACCGGGTTCATCTTCCTCTGATGGTTGCTCTGAATGCTTCTTAAACGTTACGCTCAATAGCCTTTTAAACATTGTCTTCTAATAATTCTTAAGCATTATGTTCAGTTAAACCTTGCATCCATAGCGCATTCAAATTTTCATTTATTCGGTTCGCGAAAAGACGGAATCGGTTCGCGAAAAAATTCAGTTTTCCTAAGCAAGTTTTTAAAGCTATGAAACTTTGATTAATATCAAGTTATTTGTAGGACTGAATCGGTTCACCAAAGTCTTTAAATTTTTGAAATAAGCTAATCAAGCTATAAAACTTTGGAAGCTTTCAAATTTTTCTTGGACCGAATCGGTTGGCTAAATGTTTCAGTTGTCTTAAGCACAAGTTTTTAAAGCTATGAAAATTTCAATTATTTCAAGATATTTCCTAGACTGAATCGATTCGC